TCTGGCCCCCGACTCCCCTCAGAACCAGGGATCACACACGGGGGAAGGAGATGCTCCCCTCTGCCCCCACGCCTCGCCTTGGCCACATGCGCCCCCTCCCAGGTGAGGAAGAGTCCTGATGTCACAAGGTCCCTCAGGGTGGGAAGGAGGTGGACGCCACAGCTGGGCCGCCAGCAATGGCTTAGGCCCTGGAGGGCCCGGGGCCACCACTGTGTTAATTCTGGCTGGGCGGGCCAGCCCTGCCGTGGAGAAGTAGGTGTGGGAGACGTGAGCACCCGCTTAATACGAATGGAGGAGGCAGGGAGGTGGGGAGGCCAGATGCTGACCCTGGTGACAGAGGTGTCTGGTCTGCTGGGACCACCCCAGGGGAGGAGGGTCCTCCTGGCCCTGCAGTGACAGCCACAGGAAGTTCATTCTGTGCTTGCTGTTTGGGGGTCTTGGTACCCGCTGAGAACACGAGAGCGGGACCCAAAGATCGGGACAGAGGCTCAGGAGGCGTCAGGCTCCCAAGGCAGGAGTGGCCGTGCTCTCGTACCTACTGTGCGCATCTTGGCCGTTCCTGATTGAGGGACAGAGGCCTCTGGATTCTTGGACGCCTGGGCCCATCCACACCCACACTTTTCAGAAGGGCGAACCACCCACTTTGCAAATTGCTGAGTGGTAAAGTGCAACTGGGGGGTCCTGGGGGGTGACACTGTGGCCCGCTCTCTGTGTTGGGCCACGTGTGTGGCAGGTGGCCCAGCTCTGCTTCCCGCTCCCACAGCTGTCCGTTTTCCCTGCTCTGAGCCCAGAGGGACAGCTGTCTTCAAGATCCTGGTCAGCTGATGCTTCAGGCTGGGCTTTAGGTCAAGGATCATCCATCAAAGAGGGGTCATGGTGTTTGTTACTGGTTCATGAAACTGACCAAAAGCAAAGAGGCCAACGGTTGTAAAGGGGTTAAGAAGGCCTCATGGTCAGCCACCCAGCTTCAGGGCACATCCTGGGCTCTCCCCTGACCTTTGAACCTGGACCACCCGAGTGGTCCCTGCTGGGTCTTACCCGTTCCCCGTGGGTTGCTGGACTGAGCGCCTCAGTACCTGGCCTGGCTTTTTTCCAATGTCACCGCTCCCCACATGGCAGCGGGCTCACTAGTGCCACCAGTGGGGACGGTCACAACCTTATGCACCCAGGCACCTGGCTGAGTCCCATGGATCGTGCAGCCTGCTGCGTATCCAGGGAAGGGCGTGAATTCACCAGAGCGTGACCGCCGGGGCCATCTTGGATTCCGGCTACCAGCTGGACGGTGACCGGGGACCTCTTGAGCGCCTGTTGCTCACCGTGTCCCGTCCAGCGGGGAAAATGCTGCGGCCAAGAACCACCAAGTGCCGGGTGTGCTTTCCCTTCCAGGTGGCAGGGTTTTGTTTAATTAGGCTCTGATTCCGTTTTCCTGGGCATGTGAGTCGATCGATTCCCGTAAACACGCCTGCCCACACCCACCCGCCCTCTCCCGAGCTGGACTAACCCGGTTCTGTTACTTGCCACCTGGGCTCCTGGCCGATATGGGGCTCGGATCTGCCCGGAGGCTGACTGAGAGCAGCGTGAAGGAGATGAAGGCTGTGTTGGGCGGGGCCGGCGGGCGCTGGACTGGCTGCCCCGTGGCGATGGGCAGCCTTGGGTGGGGAGGACACGTTCTTCTCGGGGGAGTGACACCTCCCGTCTGTTGTTTTGTGCATGACATGGGCGCAGAGGCACTGGTCAGAGATCAGTGTGTCTTATATATGAAGGGGTCACATTCTGCTGCGTGTCAAGGAGGCCTCAATTGGATTAATTACAAAGACTTAAAAAAACATCTGCCTGCGTAGGTGAGCCGCTCTGGGACTGCCAGGAAACTGTGCTGCAGGCCTGACTCATCCAACAGGGCTTCCCGCGAGCCCCATGCACCCCGCCGCCTCCGGCTCTCCACTTGGCGTCCAGCACCCTGTTTTGCACGGGTGCCCTCAGGGGCTCTGTTCTGGAAGGAGCCTGGCTTCCTGGCCTGGTCACTGACATGTCGAGGGGCACATTGCCCTGGTCGGGGCTTCCTCCCCAACAGTGAGAAGCAGGACCCATCTCTCCACCACCTTCTAGATGAGCCCATGGTTCCCGAGAGGAAGGAGGCATCTGAACCCAGCTATGCAGATGTGCTTAAAAATTCTGGTGCTTAAAACTTCTGGCATGAAATACAAAAACCCAAGTTATCTGGAAACCACAGCGGGCAGGGCTTGGGGACGGCGGGTACCAGAGTCCTTCAGCCAGATGTAAAAGAGAGGAGAGACCAGGGCTCCCGCTGCCTGCTGCTGAGCTCCCCCTCCCTCCCCCCCTCTGCTGACAGCCTGAAGCAGAGCCATGTCCTCCCTCGGCCTCAGTCCACTGAGGAAGCCCACCAGGTCCCTCTGGGTGCCTGGGGGCTGTGCTGGGCCTGTCCACCTCCGGTGTCTCCAACTGCCATCACTTTCCTGATGGGAGGTGCCAAGGTCAGAGGCTGAGCTTGCAGGGCCACTAGACAGCCACCATGGGGAGCCTTTGGGTGGTGACTTGGGGCTCCAGCCTGGTCATCCACCTGCTGTGGCTGACCTGGGTGAGAAGATCCATGGGTGAGGCCCAACTTCCCCAACTGGTACTGAGGCAGGTCCCGTGTGGCCCTGCTCTGAAGATCAAACCAGACCCCGACCTGAGGCTGTGGGCCCAGGGTCTCAACAGATGATGGCCAGAGCTTGGAGAGGCTGTTGGTGGGCACTTATCTCCTTTGCTGGCCACCCATTTCCTCCCCTCCACCCGCCGAGTCCCTGTCCTGATGCCTGACCAGGGTGTGCCGGGCACCGACACAAGCGATTCTGCCAGCTCTGTGAGGTCCGTGCAGTGCCCTCCAGGGAAACCGAGGCACAGCAAGACTGAGGTCCGTGGCTGGCAGGTCGCAGCCCTCTGCCTCCTGGAGACTCGCTCTCGACTTCAGATCTGGCCTTGCTCATCCCTGGCGCCTTCTAAAAGACGGTGTGTCCTTTCTTGCTTGGTTCTGTAGAGGTGGTGGGTGCGGGAAGGGTGGCCCAGTCCCCCTGCCTGCCCTCCCGACTCTCCATGTGTGGGTGGGAGGGGTGGGCTGGTACCCGGGCAGCCCAGCGGTCCCTCAGTGGGAGCGGTGCCGTGCTGCTGTGGAGTGGCCGTCTCTGAGAATGGCCTTGCTGCCAAGTGTCAGGACAGAGATCTGCGCCGCTCAGGCCCCTGCCTCCTGCTCTTACCAAACACCCGAGAGAAGGCCGCGGGGGGCTGCCAGAACCCCACCCTGATGGGGGCAGCTGGAGCCCTGGCGCCTGCGGCCCGGCTCCTCCCTGCCACTTCAGTAATCAAATACCTGGGGAGGGAGGGAAGTGGTGGGCCTTCCTCTCCCTTAATGTCTGTGCCATTAGCACAGAAAATGAGGGGATCTGGGAGGGGCAGACTCCTCTGGGAGTCTCTGGCCTGTGGGAGAAAAGGCCAACTTCCTAGCAAGACGGCAAAGGTCTGCACCAGGCCCCAGAGCCTGGACCAGCCCGAAGCTCACCCCTCGCTCCGCTGCAGCGCGGTGAGGCTGATGCCGCCTCGGACCGTGGCCCAGCTCATCCGACTGCTCATCCACTCACGGGCCCCGGGACCTGAGCGCCAGGCTGGCCCTGGGCAGGGAGGGCCCTTCCAGGGGTCAGCTCCTGGTGGGGACTCAGGACTGGAGGCTTGGGCTCCTGAGAGGAGAGTGGCTTCCCAGGAAGTGGGACTCACTGACCCTGGGCCAGTCTGGGCAACCTTCAGCCCTGGGAGGCCTTTCTGTCCATGTGGAGGGAGATGCCTGAGTGGGCTCCAGCCCTGCCCCTGAGGGGACCCCAGCCCTGCTGCTGCTGTGTGTCCTCGGTGATCACCTGCCAGGCTGGAGACCCCTCATTGGACACCTTGTCTCTGGGATTCACTGAGCAGCACGGGGAGATGGGGAGGGTGGAGGGGCTCATCTGGACGCGGCGTGGGGGGACGCGGCGTGGGGGACGCGGCACAGCCCTTCCTCCCCCGAGGCCCCGGGAACCACAGGTCCTTCCGTCCACACACAGTCCCTTCTCCCCAGAGCTCGGGGCCTGGCTGGGAGGACCAGGGGGACTGTTAGAGAGCAGAGACAGTCCATGGCCAGAGTGGACAGGAAGGTCAAGTCGGTGCCTGGGCGTGGGCCATCAGGCTCCTGGGCTTGGCGGGGTTGGCCCTGCGAGGGCCCAGGTTGAGGCAGAGCAGGCTCGAGGTGTGTGGATGGGGTGTTGGGGACCGGCCAGCAGGCATGCCTTCCTCGTCTGCTCCTGGCTCAGAGAAGGGGCCCCACTCCATCCGCGACGCTTCCTGACGGGCCACCTCTGCCTCTGCCTTGGGCTCTCTCCTCAGGCCTCAGAGTGAGCAAGTTCCCCTCGAGAATCTCCCCAGAGAATCCCAGGCGAGACCAGGTGCCCAGGATGTCCTCTGTGGGGGCTGAGCAGAGGCCTGGTCCAGGTACTGCCCGTATGGTCCACAGGGGCCTGCCCTCCAGCCTGGCCCAGGTGGTACCCTGGAAGGGCTCCCAGCCAGCTGCAGGAGCACAGAGAGGTGTCCAGGCACAGGGGCCAGCCCCTGCCTGGGGGTCAGGGCAGAGGGGGACATTCTGCAGGGAGGAGCAGTAGGAAGGGATGCAGCCACTCACTCCAGGGAGCCCCCGTGGGGCCACTATGTCCCTCTTGGAGAGGGACGATGTCAGTCCGTGCTGAACTAGAATACATGGACCGGTTTTTCCGGGTCGGGACGGCACTCACTCTGGCAACCACCAGGAAAGGGGCGGGCAAGCCTCCGGGAAGACAGAAGCAGCCAGAAGACCAGGCTTGGGGCAGGAGGACAGGAGCAGATGGCCCTGGAGAGCCAGCAGGGAGGCCCGGGCCACTGCCCCTGCCCTTGGCCATCCTCGCTGTGGGAGACAGAGGACTCGGGCATTCAGCCTGCCTCGCGACAAGGTACAAAACGTTTATTGGTGACACTTCATTGTCTTACAGAACTCCCTGTGGCTACATGGGGCCACTGTGCTTGTTGGGCACCACAGTGCCAGTCCCCAGGCGACAGGACAGAGCCAGAGCCCACTTCTGGGTGGTGCTAGAGCCCAGGGACTCGGTCCAGGAACTGCCCATATGGTCCACAGTGGCCTGGAGGACACAGAGTGCTTGGGAGGCTGCCCAGGGCTGGCCAGGCACAGAGTTAGAAAAGGCCGTCCTTCCTGTCTCAAGAGGCCCCAGGGCCAGGCGTTTCCCCATTAAAGTCACCAACTGACTCACCAAGGAGACAGGGATGTTGTTTGCAGAAAGATCTGGCTGCAAGGCGATGAAGGGACACCTCTCCCAGGTAGCACCGTCTGGTTCAGGTCAGCTCATGCTCCGCCCTGGGGACGGAATCTCGAGAACAGTCCACCCCTGGGGACGAGGCTGTAGGGCAGGAGGTGGCAGGGCTGCAGCCACCTCCTCCCCTGTGCCGACCAGCCCAGGGCGAGGAGGGCCCCACCGCGTGGGGGTGACTTTGGTACAGTGGGCCACTGAGGCAGAGTGGCTGGGGGGTGCTGGTGGCTGCTCGGCCTCTTGGCCACCCCCAGGGCCTCCGTCCCTGGGAGAAGGAGGCAGGAGGGGCCGAGCCAGATTGTCCTCCCACGCGGGCACCAAGGCAGGCGCCTGTTCCTGTCGGTGGCAAAGAGTCTCTGGAGGCCAGGGTCCACGTCGGGCCCAGGCTTCCCCGGGCGCAGGCCTCTCAGGAGGCATTCCCAGAGGGGCACTGCATCTCCATGGTGACCGTGTTGGGCGTGCCGCCTGCAGCCTCCCCCAGCTCGGCGCCGTCCCTCAGGGCCCTCTGGAAGACCACCCTGAGAGGCTCCCACAGCCGCTGCGACTTGTCCCTCCCTGCCAGGAAGTAGACGATGGGCTTGGCACTGCTGTTGATGCAGATGCACAGGTCGGTGACGTACTCGGGGAAGGGGGCCGGGATCTGGAAGACCCAGAAGAGGAACCAGTCGATCCCCAAGTAGATGGAGGACACGAGGAAGACGGAGACCATGGCCAGCACGACGTGGTTGAGTTTGGCCGACCGCTGGCGCCTCCGCGCCCGGCACTCCACGTGCAAGATGAGGGCCAGGCAGGGCAGCACCATGAGTGGGCAGAAGACCAGGAAGAGGATGATGCCCAGGGCGATGTCCATGTGCCTGCAGGCTGCCCTGGAGTCTGCGTGGCCCAGGAACACACAGAAGTAGTTGTGAATTCCAGTCACCAGCAGGGACAGGAGCCAGAGCAGGGCGCACACCACGGCCGACAGGCGCTTGGGCCGCCGGCGCCAGTACCAGGCAGGAAAGATGACGGACACACTGCGCTCTGTGCTGATGGCCGGCAGGAGGCTCACGCCGCCGACGAAGGCACAGAGCCCCACGACCCGGGACACGCTGCGGAGGAAGTCGGCGAAGGTGCCCAGAAAGCCCCCTGCGTTCAGGAGGGAGAACAGGGCCTTGCTGAAGAGGTAAGCGCTGTCGGCGCTGGCCAGGTGCAGGAAGTAGGTGGAGAAGGGGGTCCTCTTGATGGAGAAGCCGAAAAACCAGAGGACCAGCCCGTTGCCCACCAGGCCGCACAGGCAGAGCAGCAGGAAGATGTAGTTCATGACGGCTGGCGGGGGCAGCATGGCGATCTGCTCGATGGTCAGGAAGCCGCGGCTGTAGAGCTCCGGGGCCTCGCTCAGGCCGGGACACATCTGTGCAGGGGTGGAGGGGAGACACCTGCTGGTGCTGGCCGCCCCTCCCCCTCCACGGAGACCTGCACCTGTGGCCCCGCCTGGTGGTCCCCACCAGACATTTGGGTCCCAGGTCTGTAGGGCCACTGGCTCTGATGGCAACCAGAGCAGAATACAGCCCGCCGGAGGCTCACGCTGTTCCGGAGTCTAGAGCTCACAGCACGGAGTGGCCAGTCTCCAGGAGGGACACCACGGCTGTCAGCCACCTATAAGCACTCCAGGCTTGCCACGGTCAGAATGGACTCTCCCAAAAATGTCCATGTCATAGAAGAAGGGACTGTTATCATAGAATAAGGGAATAAGGGAAAACTGAGGGCACTTTCTGGATGCAAGGAGACCAAAGAGCCGTGACCCACTCTGCAGGCTGGGATCCAAACGCCCTGGACCTAGACCACTGTATTGCCGGGCTACTCGGAGAGCTCAGGATGTGGGCGTGGATTGCATCAGTGTTACGTTTCCTGAACCTGGACCTGCGCTCTGGCCTTGTTCTCAGACCAGTCGGGCTATTTGAAGGCAGAGGGAGTTGGTGTTTGCCAGTTATTTTGGGGTGATTCTGGGGTACACAGCACATTCAGCACAAGATCGGCGATGGAGGAAGGGAGGGAGGGACTTAGTAGGTAGCCTCCTGTTCTTGCAATTTTCTTGCATTGTTTCAAAACTAAAAAGTGAAAATACTTATTTCTAAGGAAATTAAAATCACTTGTAAAAAAAAAAAATGGAGTGGAACTCGGAGCAGGACCCAGTTCCATGGTGGGGCCAGGGAGAACTGGGGATCAGAGGTGGTACCCTGTGGGCTGGGGCTGCTCTTCGGGGGGCTCTGGATTGTGGGAAAGCCCAGGGGGTCTCTGGCAGGGGGTGGGGCCTGCGGCAGCAGCTACAGGAAGCACTTCAGTATTTTACAACTGTTTTGCCTAAAATGGTGCCGCCCAGCGGACACCAGTCCTGTCCGCAGGGCTTGGGTTGGTGGGTAAATGCACAAGCCTGAGCCGCATTCCAGAAACTGGTGAGTGGTGGGCACGGTTCAAACCCAAGAGTACCTATCCCGATCAAGGTGGGCAGCCTGCTCTGCTCCAGCCAGCGGGTGCCAGGGGCCCGGCTAGTGGGGCCGGTCCCCCTCTCCCCTTCCCAGAGAAGCCAAACACCCTGAGCTTTCTGTGTGAGCACTTAAAATCACCGTGCCGGCCAAACACAGCCCTCTCATTCCTAGTGGCGAAGGTGCCCCAGCCAGCCCCTTCCCTACACCCCTGCAGACATTATCAACCCACACCAGCTCTCTCCCAAAGGCTGGTACCCACTCCCGTCACCCCAACAAAACAAGGGACCCTTTCTGCCACTTTCCAGATGGCTCAGGCCGGAAGCAGGATCCAGAGAAATCGTTCTTGACTTCCCCTAACCAAGGGTGGGGTCTTCTGGCCCGGACCCCTCAAGGGATTGTGCAAACAGGAACTGGAGGTGTTGGCAGAACTTGGGGAGGCCCTCGGAGGTCAGGGAAAGTCCTTGATGGGGTCCTGCCCACCACCAAGCACAGCACAGCTCTGCCTGCCACTCTTGACCACCAAATCCCTCTGTTCAGCTGGCCCTCTGCTTCCTTTCCTGGGGTGACTTTGAGAACTACAATCTTGGGAGTTCCACTCAGCAGGGACAGACTCAGGATCTGGAAGGTCCAGGGGAGACTAGCTCTGCCACTGGGAGGGAACTTGCTTGCAGGGGACAGGGGTGGACAGAGCCATGTCAGAGCACTCCAGCCTTTGCAAGCTGGAAAAATCGTGCAATCCCCTCCTTGAAGGAAGGGGAGGGGGCCGGCTGAGTCACTGGGTGGGAGCTGTTCCCAGCCACACAAGGCCCTTGTGAAAGGCCCGCTCTGGAGCCTGCCCCTCCCTGAGCGCTGTCTCTGCTCTGGGGACTCCTGGACACGCCCCCAGCACACCCAGTCTCTGCCTCCTGGGCGGCCAACATTTCCCAGTGGGCACCCTGGGGAGAAGGGATAGAGGCTAGGGCCAGGGTCGGATCCCAGGAGCTGGCCTGGGCAGGGGACAGGTTACTGCCCTGCTGTGAGCCTCAGTTTCTTCAGTGAGGAGGTTGGACGCGGTCAGTTCCAGGGATCCTTCCAGTCGGAGAGTCTGCTACCCAGGATTCTGAAGAAAATTCCAGACTTTTCAAGGGGAGGGGGGAGGGCAGGAGGTGGTGGGTCAGCCTGAAGGGCTTGTCAGAGTCTCAGGAGGGCTAGTGCCTCTAGATGGGGGTAGCCCAGAGTGGACACAGCTCTGTGGAGCACATGACATCGGGGTCACCTAGGAGCCGGCAGGCAGGCCTTTCGGGCAAGCCCTGGCCATCGTAATGGCTGACTGCCCCCTCTGCAGGGCAGGCAAGGGGCAAAGGATGGCCAAGGGTCAGCATCAGGGGGGACTTCCAGTGACCCAGTGCCTTTGCTCACCTCCCTGAAGGGACACTGGGATCCTGGGGACTGGTGACCAGGGCCAGCCCCATGCCCACCGCAGTGCAGAGCTGGAGAGTGGCCTGGGAGGCAGGTGTGGGAGGATCTCTTGTCCCCACCTGCCGTCTCCTGGCAGGCCAGTGGCCTCCTCTGCCGGGTGGCACTTACCTTGTTCCTGCTGGTGGCATGGGCCTCCCAGGAGCAGTTCCCAGCCATCTCCAGGCTCAGAGGGTCCAGGTCCCTCGCAGCTCACCGGCTGGCACGCCCACCTGGCACCTGGCCACAGCCCGGGGAGAGGGTGAAATGAGGACAGTGGGTCTGACTCCTTCCGAAATGCCCCCATGCCACCTCCCAGCCCTGTCCCCAGGCCCCTGGGCTCTCACCTTGGCAGAAAGGCCATCCCCAGCTCCCTGAAGAAGGGCTTGGCAGAACTGTCCTGCGAGCACAGCCCCTCCTGCCCGAGGACCCCTCATAAGACCTCGGGGCCCCTTGGAGCCACTGTGGCTCACGAGGGAGGAAGCCCCCTCACCCCCACCCCCTCCACTTGGTCTGCGAGGTTTCGGAGCCAGATTGCTCTGGAGAGAGAGTTTCCCGAGCACCTCCATGTGTCCTGGCCCTGGGTGGCAGGGGAGGGGCGCGGTGAGGTCAGGCAGGTCATTTTGGAAGGGAGACTTCCTGGAGGAGGAGGTCTTTGTCTGGGCCTTGATCTGGTCTTTCCCCTAAAGGTTCCTGGAAGGCACAGCATCGCCCCCACCACCAACCCCAGCACCCCGAATGCTGGCTGAGCACCTGCCGCCCCACCTCCCCCTTGTGGGGTGTGGCCTTATTACCAGCTGCAGGGCAGCTGCCCTCATTCCCCTTTGGTAGGTGACCTAGGGTCCAGGGGTGAGGTCACTCTCCAGCGGCCAGCACATCTCTCTATTGTTGGGGCTGCAGCTGCGACGGAGGAGAGGGGTGATTGGGGAGCGAGCCAGGAGGCCAGGCCGTGGCCCTGACTCCGGCGGGTGGGGGGGAGCCTCGGGCTGCCAATCACGAGCCTGGGAGGGGGGTGAGCTGGGGGGGACGACCCAGCAGGAGACTGGTCCACCCTGGTTGGCCACAGATCATGGGTCTGCCTACCCTGTGTCTGCTAAAAGTGACCTGTCCCTCAACCAGATCTCCTATCGCTCCCCCCCCAGGAAGTGGGGAAACTGAGGTCGAGGGTGAGAAAAGGCCCTGTCCGGGGACAGTGCAGCCACAGGTGGCCGGAGCCCTCCCCTCCCTGGAGGGACTGCTGGGCAGTGAGGTGGCCTCCACTCCCCAGAAATTCCTTCCCCTGCAGGTCCACCCGCTGGCTGCAGCCGCCACCTCCTCCCCTCTCCGTCTGTCCCAGCTGGGCTGTGAGTCACTGGCTGCAGAGGGTGTCCATCTGTGCAAGCTGCCCGCCCCTTCTTTAACCCTCGGCCTCCAGGATCTGGTGGAAACCCTGCCGCCCCGAGGGCCAGAGCTGTGCAGCGGGGTGTGGAGGGCCCAGAACCGCCCCAGGCCCGCGCCCACCTCAGGTCTCCTGCCCTCCTGCCCCCAGGCTGCGGGTGCGCCCTGGAGCTTGTGGGGGCACATGTGCCTGGAGTGGCTCAGTGCGGGGCCTACGTGGTCGTGGGTGGGAGCCCCTGTGTGTGGTGCCACGCACAGATCCTGGTGCTGGGCGGTGGGCATCTTCACCCCCTGCCTCAAGGCACCGCCTAACTCCAGTTGGTCCACTGTCCGTGGCCAGGGACAGGCTGCATGCTCCCCACGGGGAGCCTGCCCAGACTTTCCCCTGCCTGCACCCCAGACCCACTCGGCCCCAGGTAAGCCACCTCCGCTTCCCCCCTTGCTCCCAGCCCTCTCGAGGCCCTTCCAGAGCCTTCCACACCAGGCCCTCAGCTCCCCTGGGGGAAGCCTGGACTCAGGAAAGTGTCACCCTTTCACACTGGTCAGGCTGGACCCTGGGGCGGAGGGCTGGCCTGCCCACAGCACAGGCTAGCATGCCAGAGAGCCCCTGCCCACACGCTGATGGAGCTGACCGTCTGTGTCCCCTGGTCCTGGCCCTACCAGGATACACCCAGCGACTTCACTGATGCGCAGAGAGATCTAGCAGCCCAGACGGGCCACATTAAGGACATATGTGTGACATGTGTAGGGACGTGTGGAGTGCGTGTGCTGCGTGTTGATCAGCGCTGGCTTCAACCACAGCTGACCAGGAAGCTGCCAGCCCAGCACCCCCTGCCCCCGCCTGCACTCCCCTCAAAACAAGGACAGTGCGGCCACTGCCGGCTTCCCCCAGCCTGGCTCACCCCAGCCCTCCAGGACCCAAAGCCTCTGGTTTTCCCCTGGCGGCTGCCTGGGCTGGGCCTGAGGGCACTGGTCATTGGAGGGGCTGTCTGACGCTGCCCTTGACACACAGAGAGCCTGTCTCCCATTCTAGGACCCGGGACCCTGCTGACAGCTGGATCCAAGGGGCTCATCCCAGGGGATGGAGACCTGGCAGAACATGGCAGGGACTTCCTCAGTGGACCCCACGCCGTGCCAGGCTCCGCCAGCCTGGGAAAAGGTGGGATCCAGCTGCCTGGCCTCCTGACCCCAGCATGTCCACTGTGGGGCTGGCCCTGCCGCTGCTCCAGCCCGGACTCAGCCTCGCAGAAGCTGGTGTGCGTGGGAGCGCAGGAGCCCTCTCCTCTTGCTGGGATGCTGCCCGCTGGGTGTTCCCTGCTAGCCCTTCCAGAAAGSTCTCTTGGACGTGAAGTTGGGGGAGGGACGGGAAGCCCCCACCCACAGGAGGACAGAGCAGGGGCTGGCTGCTGAGGCCAGCTTGGGGCTGGGGATTGGGGGAGGCCATCTGGCCAGGGCATGGTCACACAGGAGGGGACTCTCAAAGTTCCTGGCTGTCCCTGAGAACCTGCAGCCTCTGAGTGGCGGGAGAGACCTCCTGGTGGGTGACAGCCCAGCCTTGGCCTCTCAGGGCTTCCTGATTCAAGAGGTGGATTTCTGGGAGCTTCCTGCCCTGAAGACATCCACCTCATTTTTCTTCCCTGCCTGGCCTTCACCCTACAGACCCCCTTTCCCCGAGCCCCTCCCTCGGTCCCTGGACACAGGGAGCTACCTGCCGCTGTCCTGGTCCTCGGAGTCCTTCCCTTTGTGACGGGCTCCTCCTGAGATCCCTGCCTCCGCCTGGCCGACCCACCAGGGCAGCAGGCCAGCCAAGCGCTGCCCGAGCCTCGGAACGTGAGCTTGGTGGAGGACGGGCGAGCCCTTGCCTGCTGCAGGAGATGGCTTTGGAAGCAGAACCCGCCCCAAACCCAATTCCAGGCCCGGCAGGAGGGGGAGGGGAGGGGGGAGGAGGAGGGGCTGCGCAAGCGATGAGGCTTCGGGAAGGAATGCCCCGCTCAGGAGCCCCCCCAGAGCCCCACGGGGGACTCATCTTTTTGCCTGGTGACGTCAGGTTGGCCCGAGCGCTGAGCACTGCGGCCGGAGTCCAGCTGTTAACCTCCCTTGTATCCTACGGCCCCCCAAATCTGTCCTGTCCTGCAGAGGGAGCTCTGCTGTCCACTGGCCTGGCGCCCTGGGTCTGCTCCCAGTGGGCATTTTGGGGTGGATGGGCGGTCCCCACCCTGCCGTCTCCACTGGGGGAGGGGCTGGCTTGGGGAAGCTGGGCGCGCAGAGGAGAGGGCTTCCTGGCGGAGGCGCAGAGTCCACGGAGGGACTGCAGCACCCCCAGGTGGCGTCCAGGTCCACTCCCCCTGCCCACCCTGGAATGTGCCGGGGAGGCCCCCTGTGGCCTTCTGGAACCAGGAATTCCCTTTCCCAGCCCTAATAGCAATCAGATGGAGTAAGTGGAAAATCACCGCCCGCCCGGGGCGAGCAGCGGAGCTGGCGGCCGCGGGGCCTGGAGCGTGCGCTGCTCAGCGGGATGAGTCAGCCTCCCCCAGAGAGGGGGTCCTGGAACTCGTCAGTGGTCCGGGCACCCAGCCCAAAACGGGGAGCAGGAGGGTGGGCCGTCAGTGCTGGTGGTGAGCCCTTCAGAGGCACCAAGAAATGACTCTCCTGCCCTGGGCCCACTTTCTCATGGCCCCGGAACCCCAGGGAATTCCGTTTTCCCTGCCTGAGCAAACGGTGCCCAGGCCCGGCTGTGGGCCCCTGTGGGCATCTTACCCAAACCGCAAGAGACTCTCCCTGCACCTGCCCCGAGCCTCCAGCTTCCCGCCCCAGAGCAAGAGGAGGAGGGAGCCTGGGACTGGGGTCTGCTTTGCCCAGCGGGTCTCCTGGGGTCTCCTGGGGGTGGGGCGCTCTGAGAGTCTGGGGACAGCCAGACCCCACCCGAGGCCCACAGAGGCTGGGCAGGCAGGGTGGTGACCTGTTGGCCTCCCCCAGGGCAGCAGCTGGGGCCCAGCTGGGCCGCTTGTTTACATGGGGAGGCTGGGGGAGGCCGGGGGAGGCCAGGGAGGCTGAAGCCAGTCAAGTTCCAAGTGTAATTGCTTTTGGACACTTAAAAGGAGCTGCGTGAAGTGGGCAGAGGCTTGGACTCCGCCGCCTTATTTGGTATGGAAATTTGTTTCCTTCTAAACCCGAGAGAGGTGCTTCGGATGGGAGCGGCGCCTTGGCCTGGGCCGCTGCATCCTCTTTGCCACAGTCGGGTCCGGGTCCCTCGGCTTCTGGACAACGGGGACCCAGTCCTCGCAGTTCCCTGTCTGCTGAGGGCCCCACTCCTGGTCCGCAGAGGGTGCCTTCTCCTGGTGACCTGGGCTCTCTGGGGTCCCTTCTACAAGGGCATCAACCCCCCTCAGGACAGCTCCACCCTTGTGGCCTAGTCACCCCCAAAGCCTCTATCTTCTAAGGCCACCATCTTGGGGGGAGGGTCCCAACACTGGAATTTGGGGGCACTCCCTGGGCCTTGGTTTCCTCATGAAGCGGTGCCCTGGCTCCGTGCGTGGGACTGCTCACCTGCCTACCAGGCTCAGGGCTCAGTTGTGAGGTGTCCAGTCCAGGGCCAGCCCACGTGGTGACCTAGACACAGGCCCTGCTCTAGTGGCTTTCATAATCTGTCCCCAGGCTCTAAATGGCAACCACCTGCCATCGAGTGCCCTCCCTGCCCCTCCCAGTAGAAAGGACCTTAATTTTCAACACATCCATCAGCCACCCACCCACCCACCCATCCACACACCCACCCTTCCATCCACCCACCCATCCACACACCCACCCTTCCATCCACAGGCACACTATCCTCCCATCACCCAGCATCCATCCATCCAAGTTTCTAGCCACGACCCAGTCGTCCATCCATCCATCCATCCACATATCTAGCCACGACCCACTCGTCCACCCATCCATCCACATATCTAGCCACGACCCACTCGTCCACCCATCCATCCATCCACA